GTAGGATCCAGCAGGGGCCCATTCCCATGGTCCCTCTGTGTGACCATGAAGCTGGCCGGATGCTGCGCCATGCAGGAACATGAGGTCGCCTCTGTCGCACTGGCCGATAGAAGTCCTTTCCCTGCTATTTTAAATCAAAGGCAAACAGACAGCAACACACTTTGGGTGCAGCCCCTGGATGCACCAGCAGGATGCATGGGGCAACTCTGGGCCTGGGAGCCCCAAGACTCACACTCGCCACCCCCCACCTTCCCGGCTCCGTCCAGGGCTGAGTTGCCAAGGGGTTGTTGGGCTTCTGAGCCACTGTGTAAACTAATTTCAAGGAAGTGCTTTCCTGTGTCTGAAGTAACACGTGCTCGATGTGGAAACCCCCAAGTCGAGAGGAGCTTACAGGGAGGCAGGCTGCACCTCAGCGGAGACAGCCGCTGGGAAGCTTCTGGTATTTCCTTTGGGTCTTTGCCCTCACGTGCCTACTGTAGTTAGGGCTTTGTGAAGCCTTTCTTCTGAAGTTTTGCAAATCTAACATTGGATTTTCTCACGTCCTTAAGCTATTCCCCAGAAGTTCTTAGTGGTGGTGAGCATTCCACTGCTGGGCGTTCGGCTTCATAAGCTGGTTGTTGTCTTTTCAGTCGTCCATCAATAATGTTTTCATTGGCATGGATCTTGTTAGAGGGAGTTTGAGAACATTTTGGGTTTTGGTCCACAGAATTTCAGTGACCTTACTCTGTCCCTATCTCCTTCCCTCTGTCTTTTTCTTTTAAGTGATCTCAACATTAAAGTGACATAGATAAAGCTGATGCTGGAGGTGACCTTCTGGATTGTAATGACTTCCCATGTTATCAGTTGCCTTTGATTTTATACTGGCCCAGAGGGGAGAGAGGGAGAGCAGGAGGCAGGAGCAGGGGAGCATCGTGGGGCCCAGGCCCTGTGCTCTCGGCCCATCCTGCTGGCCTTGCTGTATCATTGCTCTCGTCCCGCCCCCACCCCCCACCGACCATCCAGAGAAGGGCAGTCATGTGCCTGCTGCCCACAGTGGGTAGGACCAAGTGAGATGGTGCCCACAGGTTGCTCTCCGGAGTCTGGTTTTAAAGCCGCCGTCCTGTTTGGGAGGAGTGGCCTCGCCACCCTCTGCTGTGCTGCCCACGCCGTCAGTTATGCCAGTGGCCATCTTTCCATTGCTTGTTGCAGATTTCCCCGGTCACCAGGGAGACGTGGCAGAGGCCTGTCACACTGGGAGGGCCGGCTGCAGGCCCCTCCTGGTGCATGCCCCTGGGCGTCTCCAGCCCGGGAGCCCTGGCTGACTGGCACCTGTGCCCACGCCCCTTACAGAGGCGCACTGCTGGCGGCGGCCACTTTCACAAAGGCCGCCATCTTGGAGCCTGACTCCAGCAGGAGGGTGCCCGCTGCTCCCCAGGCGGCTCCAGCCCCACTGCTGCCCTTCACCTGGGGCCCCTCCCGGTGAGCCAGCATGGCGGGGGCTCTGGCCCGTTGCTCAGCCCCAGCCTTCCCAGCAACACTGCAAGACGGGGCATTTCAGCTTGCTTCAGTGACCGCGATAACAGGAGGGCCAGGCACTGACAGCCTTTCTGTGCTGGGACCCACAGCCCAGGCATCAGCTCCCTGAGCCTTGCCTTTGTTCCTGAGGCCGCAGGACACGTCACCGGGCATGAGCTGTGTTGCACCATGAGGAATTATGGCCTCCAGATCTGCAAGGCCGAAGTCTGAGCCAAGGTATCTTCATACCTGACGAAACACAGATAAATCGCCGCCGCCCTGGGCGTCTGGGGTGGGGGCGCCGGGTGAGGCTCGGCGTCGGCCCC